GGAATTTGGCCGATTAAATTCGTCGCCCTCATCCATAAGTTCTTCAATTTCTTCAATAGAGTAAACCTATTAGGTATCTTCATCGGCACAAAGCCATTATTGGCCATCCATAGAAGCTCAAGATTGGATAGGTTGCCGATTTCCTTCGGAAAAGTGCCGTTGAACTCATTATATTGCAAACGGAGTTCTTTCAATTTCCGTAATCCTCCGATGCTCGGAGGAATATCCGAGAAGTTGTTTCCACTGAGGTCTAAGTAAACCAGAGTAGATAACTGGTAAATGTCCCCGGGAATTGAGCCGATGAAGTAGTTCAGGGAGAGGTCTAAGCGCTGGAGCTTCGAGCAATTGTAGAGCAAAGTTGGGAACTGACCGGGGATAAAATTGTCGGACAAATCAAGGAATGTGAGGTTCTTGAGTTTGCAGATTGATGGTGGGATTTCGGAAGTGATGTTCATATCCTGGAGCGAAACACTGGTGACTGAACCATCAGTGCAGTTGATTCCCGACCAAGAACACGGAGAAGAAGAGGCGTTCCATGACTGGATGGCTGGCGGGTTGCCCAACTGCTCCTTAAGGTTGAGAAGAACAGTTCGCTCTGTTTCTATGGTTTCTGAAATTGCATTGAAGGGTATGGAGATGAGGAACAAGAGGAGGAGGACTTCTGGAAACGGTTGGGGAAGTTTGGACATTTCGGATGTTTCGGGTTGTTATTCTGGTTGGGGAAAGTCTTCTATGCAACAGGAATACCATGTGATATATATTCTTGTCATGGAAGAAATTTTGTCGAGGGAGAGAGTAAAGATTTGGTGAAGAAGACAGAGAGAAAAATAAGATGAGCGGAGGAGAGAGAAGACACTGCTGGAAAATTGTCTGCTAGCTTGTGTGTCTTTTTGGATGATGAAATGCCTTTCTTTTTGTTGAGTTATAATATTATTATTATTGGATGACTTCGGATATGCATAGAAATTAGGATTACCCATGATAACTTATGAGAATAGTGAATTGTAATTAAAGAGTTGTGATTTAATTAGTAAATGAATTTACTTTTTATTTTGTTGATTAAATTTTGATTTATAAAGAATATCAATAAAAATATAATTTTTTCATAAATTTCTTAATTTTTTTTTTTTATATATGCACCAAGTGGCCTAAGATATCTTTGCAAAACTAAAAAAACAAAAAAATGCATTGTCATGTTAGACTCTTGGTGCATTTACAACCCTTAAACATAATTATATCCCATTTTTGTCATTTTATTATGGGCTTATTATGTGGTAGTATTATTTTTGGGTAGTGATGTAGGGATAATTTTTTTTTATTTTTTATATAATTTTTACATATTATTAAATGGGTGAATATATTTAATATTATAAGTTTCAAATAAATAAAAAAAAATCGATAATTTAAATGATATGTAAAGTTGTACAAAAAAATTATTCTTAAATCATTTTCCTTTTTCTTTAAGGGTAAGAAACAGTTGAAATCCAAATTTTATAATTATTTAAATACCTTGGAACCCAATTAATGGAGTTCATATATTTTAGTCAATTGTAAATTTGACCGATAGAAATTTGGTTGAGTGCAAAATTGGGTCTCTTATATGTAAGTGTTATCTTTAAATTATGTATAAAATTTTATTAAATTAATATTTAAAA